CACCACCACCTAAGTGCTCCATACATGGTGGCTGTGATTGGTACAGGTAGCTGTGATTGGTACAAGTAGCTCTGAACAATATTAGAATGTTCAAAGCAGACTTGTCATCAGAGGACATGACTAAATAGGGGTCTTCCATCAGTCTTTTCTGCTGGGTTAGACATAGGTTTTTATGTTCGTAGGTTTTATGTTTTATGTTCTAAATAACTCAGAGTTGATGAAATGCCCAAGCTCAGAATTGCCTTTTGTTTAGGGATATGTACAAGACGCACTAGACTGCAGAGCACCTCACTTACGTGGGTGTTCCTGGGATTGTGGAATTTGAGAGTGACCAGCCTGATGTGACACTGTGACCAGGGACCAAGAAAACAGAGGCATTTTTGAAAAACTTCTAAGTGTAGCTTTTTGAGGCCAGATCGCCAAGCCATTGTACCTTAAGTGGGCTCTTTGCCCGTCTGCGTCAGGGGTGTTGGTGTCAGTGGGGCGGGCCGGTCTTCTCTCTCCTAGTTAGAAGACGTTTCTGATCTTCTAAAGGTCTCAATATTAGATGATGATCTTAACATTCATGGGGAAGAAAACCAACTTGCTCAGTCCTATCTAAGTATACATAATCTTTGGGGAGGGTGGAATTATTAATGAACTAGCTAATGTGGGTCCATACATAATGAAGTAGGGGGAAGGTAAGAATTCTCCCCTTGTTGTTTTAATTTATCTTTTTCCTGGTAGATCTGGGGAACTGAAAAAACGAAAAAGGTTCACATTTATGTCGACGTGTAATATACAACCATTCTATTCCACAAAGCATCTCAATAAATGAATATATCTTAAAAGTGGCTACAAAACTTTTAAGCAGGTAGAAAATGATCATGTTCATTGTTTGGTGATAAGGCAACTAAGTGCGGTTAGTGATGTGTCCTATGACAGTGTATACTGCTATAGGTCTCGCCTATGGGACTGTCTCAGCAATGCATATGCATACACATTGATGACTAACCTTCTGACTCCTGGCTCCTTGAACACCATCTGCCATAAAATTTTATGTTACATAATATGCTATGTAATATTAACGAACTCCAAAAGTCACATATACATGTATACCTATTTTATGAATTGCCCTATATATATACTTCTCATTTAATACACTAAACTAGCAAAACAACTGTCTGTACTCTGCAAAAATTTCATTATCATAAAGTACAAAGAATGACCAAGGAACTGTTCCTGATTAGAGACTATAGACAACTAAATGCAATAGGTCTTGGATTGGATCCTGGAATCGGGGGTGGGGTGGGAGGTGGATAAGGGTGGTTACTTGTATAAAGATATTATTAGAACAATTGGCAAACTCGGAATATAGACTGTGTATTAGATGATAGTATTGTATCAATGTTAAATTTCTTGAATTGGATCATTGCATTGTGGTTATATAAGACAATGTCCTTGTTTTTAAAAAATACATGCTAAAGTATTCAGATTTAAAGGGATGTAATATCCACAATACACTCTCAAATGTTTAATAAAAAAATATTATAAACAGAGAGATATGAAACATATGTGGCCAAATGTTAACAATTGGTGAATCTAAATGAATAGTATACAAAAATTATTCGTATCATTCTTGGATTCTATACCCAGCATTCTTGTTGGAAATTGTAAGTTTAAAAATAAAAATAAACTAAAATTGTTTACGGAAGTGTAATCCAGTGAAACCTAGCTTAGCACTGTCTGTTTACTTCTCAGCTAACTAGATAACTCTACATTCCATGAAAGTACACTGTGCCTAGTTCACTGTTGTATTCACAGTGCCCATCACAGAGTAGATGTTCACTTAATTATTTGTGGAACGCAGAAAGAAATGATAAAGGGTGCAATGCAATTATTGTGATGCCACTGGGGCCTTCGTTCTTCCTTTGGAACCACTTCCAGCAGCATCACTTACCCAGGAATCTGTTGAGGAGGTTTGCTCTGAGTAAGCTCTGCCAATCATTTTGTGACATCGTCCTGGCATCATTGATCAGATGATCTTAGTAGCACACCTTGGGGAAGACTTTCCCAGAACTGAATGACGTTCTTTCATTATAGAAGATACCATCTCTTAAGACTATCTGAATGTGTTGGAACAAACCAGTGACCAAATCCATCAAATACTCATAATCGGACACCGTACATTTTTGTGGTGCCCCCATTATCTCCCTTCAGATATGACCAATCATTCCTTGGAATTGGCTGGCACTGACTAAGAACATTTTTGTTAAATGAATGAAAACAAAGACCACGGTATTCCCAACACTAGAGTCTATGCGTCTGAAACTCCTTAGCATGCGTTTGGTAGACAACGCACATTTCATGAACTTCAGCGGCATTAAATTGGAAAATAAACCCTTAGGATTAAAAAAGGAAGAGAAAAAAAACATATCACCATGAATTACATGAAGATATGACTGTATCACATGAAGAGACAGCCACATACAGTGGAAAGACATGGGTTTTTGAAACCAGCCAGATTTTGGTTCAAATTCCAGCACTTCCATTGACAACTTGCGTAATTTTGGGCAAGTAACATAATTTCTTTCAGGGCTAGTTCCATGAGCTAAATAATAGGGATAATAACACCTTCCATATATTATAATGTTGCTGTGAGGGCCCATCAGTGCCAACTCCCATGAAGTCTTGGCTCAGTACATGGTAGCTCTATTATCTTCACCAAGAGTGGACAGGAGCTGTGTCTGAGAGAGGATTTTAATCACGTTTCTTCCACTAACACAGAGATCCTTGGAGACCACAAATGAAGCCTTAACTCAAAGACAGTAGAGTCTTTGAAAGGAACAGAATTCAAGTAGAGTCTGTCCTTTCATGATGGGGTACAAAGGAGCTATTAGTCAACTCAGCAAATATGTGCTCTGTAAATCAGCCCAACGCATTTGGAGAGATCACTTTGAAGCAGCAGGCTGAGTTCAGGTCCAAGGGGGAGCTTAAAACTTAGTGTCTCTACCTGTGCCATGTAATCTAGGAAATAACGTGGGAGAAGCAGTCAGGGAATCAATTACTGCCCCCTAGAGTCCATCCCAGCTGTCTAAATGAATTTTCAGAAAGTCCATGAGCATAGCAAGATTTGGAGCATCTAGGAGAGGTTGCTGTCTAGGTTGTGTCTGTTATTGGGTAGATGTTGAAGGAGGAAGACTAGAAATCTAATAATCTTCTTACATAGGTTGAGATCGTCTTGTCTGCCAATGTTTAATATCTGTTTCTTTCTTATTGGGAAGGGAACAGCATTGCAGGTTATGTGGCTTTGGAGTCCAACAAGTAGGCTTGGGTTTAAATTCTGCTTCCGCCATATACTGACTATGTGAATGTGGGGAACTTACCAGAGCTTACTCAGTTTCCTCATCTGTAAACTGTAGTATTCACTTGGCAGTTTTGCTGCAAGGATCCAATGAACTAATAACGCACACAAAAGGTCCTTTCACATAGTGGTTACTCAATAAATCTTACCTCGCCCAGATACTGAAGCTTATGGGGGCTAAATGAGAGAAACTGTCCTCCCTCCCACCTGAAAGCCAAGATGTTATTGACTGATTTAAGCACAAAAACATCAGTGTGACCCATTTATAAGCTTGTTTTACCCTAGGTAACTGACAGGAAGCAACCATCATCACAGCCATGGCAGCTCCCCACACATGAGCTGGGGCTGGCAATGAGCTGCGGCTCCCAGTGTAAGTTCTGGGAATTCATGCTGTAGGCTCTGCAGAACTCAGCCTCCAGTGGATTGGCAGCCTCTGTGCTGAACTTGTGCATCAGCCAACCTCTGAGCTCTAGCCTTAAGTGAGATTGTTTTCAGTGTCAGGCACCTGTCTGGGGAAACAGGATTTTGTCCTCTTGATGTGGAGTGTCAATTTCTGGCTTTAATAGATTCAGTGTACATGCAACTACATCGTCCTCCAATGTATACCTATTGTCTCAAAGTCACTAGCACCTTCTTTCCTTCTCAGAGGTGACCCAGTTTGGATGATAAATTATATGGTCACTATTATACCCATAGAAACATAAGTGAAGGCAAGGTGGCTGGGCATGATTCAGATGCCATGAAAAATTAAAAAAATAAAAGGATTTAGAGAATTAAACATTGATATTTAACATTGAGGAACCAGTGCTACTGGTACATTTTCATTTGTCTCAAGTAGCTGGTAATGATTAATTCAAACACTGTATCAACACATCTATTAACAGCGGTCTTCTCTAGAGAAGGAAGAGAAATTTTGAGTGCATGTATGTTGTATATAAAGGAGAGAAAAACGCAGTGGTGTGCTGGTAAATGTTTAACAACCAGCTCTTGGGGTGGTATACCCTGATTTGTGGTATTTTCCAATTTCCATGGTGTTAATACTCCCATCATGGCTGATTTCAAGCTGCAAATGTGATGTCACTGAATATAGGAATTGGAAAGAGATGCACACAATAAGTTTTTGTGAGCTGGAAGGAGAAAGGAGACTTTAACATGAACATTACTTTTGTAATGTCTTACTTTTTTACAGTATTCATGTATTACTTTTGTAATATAAAGGCTGCATATATGCTATATATATGTAATATATGTATGTATATACGTACATATATATGCATATATATATGCACACACACACACATAATCTTATCTACACCTGTGTGAAGATTAGTCCTAACAGTTTTCCTAAATGTTTCCATAAATTTGAGTGAAAGATCCACTAGAGACATAACATATTGAGGGGTCTCATAAACCAGATTGCTGCAGGGTTTCATATGACCACCAGGACAAAGTGCGGGGGTGTTCACTTTGTTGATTACCATGGTTTACCTTACTAGCCCACATCTGGTATATAAAACATCTGGCTTCAGTGCTGAGACAGAAGCTAAATGGAAAATGTGAAGATGCTTTGACAGAGGATAAAGAGAGATCTAACCTCAGGCCAGGAGAAAAAAAAGATGCAAGTTTAAATGATGAGAAAAATAAAACAAGAGCTCACAAAATGTAAAGTTGTCGTTTATCGATTTTGCTTTCTACACTGAAGTGTGTCTCGGCAGCTTCTTACAAGAGTGGGAGGGGAATGGGAAGAAACAGTCCGTACTCCTTTATGGAATGCAGCATTCTCGGCCACATTGCAACTCAGAACAAACAGCCCAGTAGAGAGTAGGGCACGACTCTTGTTCTCATCAATGTAAACACAACATTAATATTGAAGATTCAAGAAAATGGGTAAAAAGTCCAGTGTCTCCTCAATCTGTGTAATGGTGAAGGTGCTTGCCTCTACCCTTGGACAGGTCCCACAGGGAGCCTGAGGTCGTGACCTCGTCCCAGCTGCAGCGAAGTGGGTGTGAACACAGAGGAACCCAACATGCTCTTCCTGAAGGTCTTGGAAGGGACATGTGAGTCTTCAGAATTGGGCTCGCATGGATGATTCAAGTTCTTCTAAAGGCCTGCGAGGTTCGTACCTTTCGTGTGCACAGAAACAGTCCCTTCAAAGCCCTTTCCCCATGAATCAGTCACTGCCAATAGAAAATGTGACCGGCTGTAAAGCAGTTGGTCTTCGTGTTTCTGCAGCCCCCATCTTAGCCCCTGGATTCTGGAGATTGGGAATTCGAGGTCATGGGGGCCTCAGACAGTCCTGAAGGAAGCTGCCCACGCTTAGATATTGGCTGAAGACTCTTGTGCTCCTTGCTGGACCACTGCTCATACAGGGATGTGGATTGTGGACCTGATTTGTCCTCCAGAGCCTTAAAAGATCCGATTTTCTATTTTGGATTTCCAGACCAAAAACAAATCAAATCCCCCAACACAAAAACAAGTCAAAACAAAACAAGAGTGACCTTGAGGATAAAGAACCAACCAATTCCACCTCCAGGTCCCACCAGGTACAACGTCCCCATTGGGTTTTTCCAAATGGTTGGTTCTGATCATTGGTTTTGCCCTCCCCTTGGATACCCAGCTGGATTGCAGGGAAAAGAAGAAAGCTTCTTCTGAATGAAGAGGCATTTTTGCTTTTATTTCCTGGGATGGCTAACCCCCAGCACCCTGACTTCCCTTTCTTAAAAAGCAACGAGAACATCCCGAAGCCCGGCTTGGTTGTGTGGCTTTGTGGTGGGCCAACCCCTTTGCTTGCTCTTACTCCTCCAAGAATGTCCCATTCTTGAAGAGACTGTGTAGATGAGCAATTTTTCCACACCCTGGGGATGCCAGGTCGTGGAGCAGAGAGGGGCTGGTTAGATCCTTGTCCCAGATCTCTGTAATAGGGCAGCTCTGTTGGGCCAAAGAAACAGATAAAAACAAACCAAAAAAGCAGTGCTCAATTTTGAGTTTGAAGGCTGGGCCCCCAACAGCAAGTGGCTCTCCCCTTTGAGAATGTCTCCCCCTAGCCGTGGGCTTCTTGGTGCTAGCTGTTGTTCTCGGCCGTGAGATACTTGAGGGCGGCAAAGCCATAGCGGCGGGACATGTCCTGCTGAAACTCCTCTTTCAGGGTTTTGAGACAGATGCGGTATTGCTTGTTGGACCGGAACTTGGTGATGTCGAAGCTGGGGGCATGAGGCATATGGATCATGTAGGCGTTGGGGAGCACGATGAATTCATATTCCTGGAGGAAGATAAGAGCAGTGTGAGTACCTGCAAGAACCTTCAGTGACGTATGATGAATGCCCAAGTGGATGATCGAATGGCTAAGTGAAGGAACGAAGTGGGGGATGACACCAACAAGCAGGGCAGCACCATGGAGAGCACAACCATGGTGGAGAAGGATGGTTCAGGGCTGTTTCCATGACCTTGGACTTCTCTGAGCCTTTGTTGTCTCACCTATAAAGTGAAAGGAATAACACCTACCTTAAAAGATGACCAGTAATGTATGGATAGTGCTGGGCAGAGCTCATGGCCCATAAAAGGTTCTTGATAAACGTGAGCACACACCCATGTGGTTGCTCGAGAATGACGTAAGCCATGAGAGATTCTCTTGCTCAATTAAACGACATCTGTTTATGTGATTTCTCGTAGGGCTTGATGAGATCTGACAGACTCAATAGATCAGTACAAAAAGAGGGGACAAAAAGAAATAACGGAAAAAAAAAGGTTCCACTGGACTGAAGCTCATCGAGAACAAAACTCTCACCTATATAACCTTATTACAAGTCACAGCATCATATGGTATCCTCCACTTGGCAGAATATAGATAAAAACTCAGACCAAAAATAAAAGGTCTCCAAATAGCCAAAATAGGTGACACAAATTTAGGACACATAACCCAAAGGACAACCTAGTACACCTCCACTCAGAATCTATGTGCTCTGATTTTGGACATAGTGTCTGATAAACTTGGGTCATCAGTTTCCAGGCTCAGAGCAGATCAGAATAACCTCATAAAGGGAACATAAGGATGGGAAAGGTAGCTGTTACAGATGGAGGAATACTGACAGCAGCAAAAAATGACAGCTGATGGTGAGGAAGGAGTGAGAAAAATCATGAAAAGGAAATACAGCGACTCCCAGAGCTTAGCTGTCTGGGACATTCCACGTGGAGACGGAGAACCCTACCAATGCCACTAGCCCCTACAGGTGTGGCTGGATTACCTGTCAGGTGTCTACTCATTATTTGTTTAAATCCCTGGAAAGGGTAAAATTATGTTTGGCATGTGCTATTGGCAAAGAAAAAAAATGTGCACCAAATTTTCAAGAGTACTGTCACTGTTGAAAACAAACAGCCCAGATCTTGGTGCTGGGAAATTAACTTTATTTGAACCAGTTCACCTCACCACATTGCTGGAAGCATGAATATTACAACATTCCTTTTCTTTCAAGCAGAAGCTAAGGCAGACTAAACATTTCTGTCTGTGAGCAGCACTGCCCCGTCTCCAAGTATTATTGAAAAAACAGATACTAAAGGCCACGCTTTCTACTGTTAAATATGGACACTATTCTGTAACCTTCTATCTACATCAGTGGTTCACAACCCTAGATGTTTACTAAAACCACCTGGGACCACTCAGGGCAGCCAGCCAGCACTGAGCATCCAACCTGAATTTGAGGTGCTCTATGAGGAGGTGCCTTGGAGAAGAGCATACAAAGAGAAAAAAGGGTGGGGTTGAGGGGCCCAGGCATCCGTCTCTAACTTAACCAGCTAACTCTGCTTTTGTTTGTTTAACACAGGAGTCCATAAACTGTGGCATGTCTGGCCACTGCATGTTTTTGTAAATCAGGTTTTATTGGAACACAGCCACGCCCATTTGTTTAGATACTGTCTATACTTGAATTACAATAGCAGAGTTGAGTGGTTGAAAAGGAGACCTGTAGGCCCCACCAAGCCCCCCAAATTTATTATCTGGTCCTTTACAGAAAAATTTTCAGACCCTTGGTTTAACCTATTAGAATTCTGCAGGAGATTCCTTTTGAAGCAGGTGTTCAGTAAGTATTAGTTGAATGAATGAAAGGGTTTCATGACTAAATACAGCCTAAAAATCATCACTCTTTTAGTTATAGTGTGGAACAATTAGCTGTATGCTTTGTGTCATTTATACAGAACTCCTAGAATGCCGTGTGTCAATTATATGACTCACAAGCAAAGTGATGAATGGGCATCACTTGCTCGTCTTCATCACTGGGTTGAGTGAGGATGAGGGAGTGAAATGGTTTGTTACAGCACACTCCCATTTGCCTGGGTCCTGGCCAGGAACCCAACTCTCACCCAAGGGTAGAAGAAAGAGGAATGGTTTGGGAATCAATAGCCCCAAGAATTAGTACTGCCACATCCTGACTCTAGGTCCCTGAACACGTCTTGTTCTCTCTTAGGTCTCTGTTTTCTTATCTGCAAGGTCCCCTTTCAGCTGTAAGATCTATGTCTCTCCTCCCTAACCCCTAACCCCCAGCACCAGGTCCATGATGTCCCATTCTTCTCACCTGTGCATCCAGTTCCATGATATGAGCCACCTTGTTCCAGCCAAAGCCCACAAACCTCCGGTCATACTCAGGGCAGTCCCGTCTCACAACGACGTATGGCTCAAAATCAGCCTCCCACTCAACCCGGTAAGGCGTGGTGGCGGTCCGCCACTTGGCGAAGTTTGTGGGTGCGTGGCCTTTCGTCCAGACATGGTACCTGGGACACGTGGAGAAAAGCCATTGGGGGGAGGGAAGGAACTGAGTTTCCAAACACTGCTGATTTGGAGGAAGAAAAGTTATATGCTGACAAAGTCCTTGTTGTGGGTTGAACTGTGTCCCCCAAAAAGATACGTTCAAGTGCTAACTGCCAGTACCTGTGAATGGGACCTGTGTGCAAAGAGGGTCTTTGTAGACGTAAACAAGATGAGGTCACAGTGGATTAGGGTGGGCTCTAATCCAAAGACTGGTGTCCTTATAGAAGACGGAAATTTGGATACAGAGACACACAGGGAGAATGCCATGTGAAGACAGAGGCAGAGATTGAAGTGATGCACACACATGCCAACAGTCACCAGAAGCTAGAAAGAGACAAGGAAAGATTCTTCCCCAGAGCCTTTCGAGGAAGCAAGGACCTGCCAACACCTTGATTTTGGACTTCCGGCCCCCAGAACTGTGAGAGAATAAATTTCTGTTGTTTTAAGTCACCCAGTTTGTGTATTTTGTTATGGCAGCTCTAAGAAACAAATCTAGTTGGTTATCTACATCCTTCGCTAACGAGGAGACTCTCACTATGAAAGGGTAAGTGAACTCCTGGAGTGCTCTGTATCATTTATACGGAACTGCAGGTTAGTCTGTACCAGAGTTATTCCTACCAGAGACCACTGTGGAAGGCAGAAGTCTAAAATGACCCTCAGTGACCCTGCCCTTGCATAATGTCTCCCCCTTGAGGCAGAACCGGTGAGGGTGATCACTCCTGTCATCATCTTACATTGTACGGCAAAAGGGATTTTTGTAGGTGTAATTAGTTTCTAATCAGTTGACTTTGGATTATTTAAAAGGGAGATTATTGAGGCGGGCCTGACCTAATCACGTGAACCTTTAGATCTGGGTTTGGAAGAAAGCAAAGAGCCATATGTGAGCTGCGTATGGGGGCCACAGGGCAAAGAACCAGCAGGAAAACGGTGACCTCAGTCCTACAAGCATAAGGAAAGGACTTCTGCCAACAACCAGTGATCCTGGAGGAGGACCACAGGCTCTGGAGGAGAACTGCAGTCTTGTCCACACCGTGATCTCAGCCCAGTGAGACCCTGAGCAGAGAATCCTGCCATTCTGTGCCCGGACCTCTGACCCTCAGAGACTGTGAGATAATTTGTATTGTTCTGAGCTTCTAGATTTGTGGTAGTTTGTTATACAGCAATAGAAAATGAATACCCAAAACAATAATGATAATAAGCTAATATTTATTAAGTACTTATCACATACTGGTTACATTGCAAATATTGTACCTATAGTTTTAAATTCTTATAACTTACCTAATATCAAGTTACAAATAGTAAGTGGTGGAGGTGGGATTCAAACTTAAGCAGCCTGGCTTAAGGGCCAGGACCCTTAACCACTATGCTGGATTATGTCTCTTATATGTCACTGTCACTCACACTCTCTGGCCTATACATAGAGCAATTAGTCAATGATGGTACACTAAGTTGAATTAATGTATAAACTAAAAACTTGAGAGGCACCTAAGACAGAAGCCAGTTAGTGGGGCAGGAATATGCCTCTGGAAGCTACAAAGAGATGGCAGGAGGCTGGAAATCTAGTGAAGCAGCAGACAGGGCCCAAGAGAAGTGGGTTAGGGAAAAAGAACATTCTAGAAAGAAAAGCTTCATAAAATGAAAGCAAGAGGGAAGGATGGGAACCCAACAATTTAGCTATAAGGAGAAAGGAGCTTGTAGTCCTGGGTTCCATCTATGCTTCGGGGAAGGCTCTCAAAACAAGTGAGTTTTGAGTGAGTGTTCAATGCAGCTAGTGGAGCCCTCCAGTTGGGGATGTGGCTGCTTCTTTATTTTGCTCCTTCACCACCGAGGCTGGACTTCTCCTGGACCCTCAGGGAACCGTCCGGTGTGGCTGAATGGGTGTTGGCCAACGGGTGGACTTTCAGTAAGTTGTGCTGTTGGGTGAGACAGCCACGCTGGGGGAAGGCAGGGACTTGAATCTCCGGCTCCACCAATTCAGCAACCTCCACCAAAACCCAATTCACTTGAGTGGAAGAAAAAGGAAAGGTGGAGTAATGCCACTTCAACGGAGTATGAGAAGACGGGATAGTGCAAGATGTCAGGACTAATTTAAAAATCAGGCTGGAAGGAGATGATTTCCCATTCGCAAACTTGTGGAACAGGCAGTCTTAACATTTGACACCTCTGACGGAACTGGCCCAGCGCAACCAATGGCTGTGAACGTGTATTCGGTTCAAAGCACAGCACCGTGGAGCCACTGCACCAGGGTTCAAATACCGTCTCCTCTGCTTAAGAGCTGTGGACCTCATACAACGAAGCATTTAAACCAGGCTTTACTCTCCTCTTGTGTGTCCACTGGGGAAAAGAATACCTTGTTCAACCGCGAGGAGCTTGAATGAGAAAATGTTTGTAAAGAGCCTGGCACAGTGCTGCCACCCACGTGTTCAATAAATGTTACTTCCCTAACAGGCGGCGTAACGAGGTGGCTAAAAACACTGGTTCTGGAACCAGCCTGTCTGGCTTTGAATTCTGTCACTCAACAGGTGCAGAGAACTTACTGAACCCCCCTGTACCTTTGCTTCCCTCTCTTGGTAAAACAGAGATCCTAATAATACGTACTTCATGGATTTATGACAATTATGTGGATTAATTCACATAAAGTACTTAGAGCAGTGACTGATATACAGTAATTCCTCAAAAAATGAAGATAGTCTCCTTATTATTTCCACTTTTTTGTAATTCATGGTGGTCTTATTCTCAGCGACATCAATGCATTGACAGCCATCTTCTTTGTCCTCCATCTTTAGAATCTAAACTCTCTGCCTATTATAATGTGAAAAAGAAGGAAAAAGAGAGGGGGAGTCCAGGGATAGCTGGGTCAGTTCTGTTCCCCTGGGTGGGGAGGCAGCTTCCATTCGCTCAGCCCGGAAGACGGACACCACGTCGAGTGGCTGGTCAGCACAGAACATGGTGAAGTTACAGCTGACCTGTCATTAAAATAAGGCACGGCCTGAAAATGCCCAAGGAACCTACTCTCAGACCAGTAGACAGAGGACTCCAAGGCTTGCTCTCTGAGACCAGCAACACTAGGTAGCCTCCAAAAAAAAAATCAGTGATGAGAGAGGTGTCCTGGGTGCACCTTGTAGGATGCAACTTTGAAGAGATTTGGGGCACTTGGCTTTGAGCAGTGGTTCTCAAACTCGAATGTGTATCAGAATCCCCTGGAAGACTATTTTTTGACAGTCAGATCACTGGGTTCCACCCCCAGAGTTTCTGATCCAGTAGGTCTGAGATGGGGCTTGAGACTTTGCATTGCTAACAACTTCCCAGGGGATGCTGATGCTACTGGTCCCAGGACCACACTCTGAGAATGGCTGCCCTAGAGGATTAGTAGGGGTGTGGACAATTCCTCATGCCAAGTGCAGTGGGCAGCAGGTTCAGCTGCCAGGAGGCTTAAAAGTTCGTCATTTGGAGGGAAGGTGACAAATGCAATTTCTCGGAGGGGAGGTCTCTAATTTAGCACTTGGCATGGTAGCTTGCAAACTATTGGCCAGAGCAGCAATGATGGACACACCCCAGCTCTCAGGCCTACAGACTTGGCCTTGAAATGAGTTCTTAAATCACCTGGGGATGAAGACAGAAGGAAGGAGGCCTTGGAAATTTGCCAGGTGTTCAGCCACCAGGCTATGGCGTCTGTGGGAGACTCAGACGGAGGTTTGGTCTCAGAGTCTCAATTTTTCCCTACATCTTCAAACACTGATTGGTAAGAAAATTCAGGACTTGTGATCAGTGGTCCAGTGGTATTTTGTTCAGAGCTCTGCAGTTCCTCAGACCTGGGCTGAACCCAGGCTCTGCCATATACCGGCTGTATGTCCTTGGGCACATTATTTAGCCTCTCAGTGCCTCAGTATTTTTCATCTGCAAAATGGGGATAACAGTACCTGCCTCGTGGATTTGTTGTGAGGATTAAATGAGCAGATCACGGTGCCCGGCACATGTTAAGCACTCAATAAATGGTAACTATTATTTCTTTCCAAAAACAAAGAAGGATTGGTTTGTGGGGCGATTAACTCTTTCAGGTCACTTTCCAGAACTCTGGATAGAGGAAGAAGGCTGGAGTTTTAGTCCTGGTTCCATTAGGACCCCTCCACTCCTCAGTTTCTTTATCCGTATAAAATGTGACAAGGGATACTCTCCGAATTGTTGAATCAATACCCTATCTCATAAAGTTATTTTCACACAATAAAGTTTGCTTGAGAAAACCTTCTAGAAATTTATAGTAACTTAATAGTAGAATGAAAACCTCAGTTACTGTTACAATCTTTTCAATAAAAATCAGATTGCCTAAAAACGTATGTTTTTTAGCTCTAAGGAAGCGTTGGCCGTTCTTGCATTGTTTGAAATGGAGGCCTCTCTCTAAAATAGGAGCATACGGAAGCAACGGTGCCCTCTTCAGACTGCTCTTCAAGAGACCAGGCGGGACCCTACTTCCCCAGGGGTGCTACACTTAACGCGGAGGCCTGTCCCGGGAGACGGAACCCATTCATGCTGGGGCAGTCATACAGACCCCCTGGGCATTTTGGACAGGTGGGAGTGTAGCTCCCGAGGGACGTTCCTGCAGGACTCAGGGGCCTGGGAAATCAGGAAAATGAGAGGTTCGTTTTAAATGGTCACTTGGGCAACAGGAAAGTCAGCTTCCACATCTGCTGTGCCCAACCTTGAAGTCACCTTAATGACTTTGGTTGTTGAAGCTACTGCTGCCCACCCCAGGCCTGAGGACCTCGGAGAACAGACCAGTCACAAAAATAGGAAAAGGGAAACAGAGGCCATGGTGCTAACAGGATGCAACCCACTTACCAAATGAATGAATGAACAAGCCATTGAAAGAGAGAATGCAGACCAGGAGCCTCGACTGATGAACTCCCCACCCAAATTCCTACCCTTCCATGTGGACATGTGCTGTCTCTCACCCATGCACAAAGCAAGTACTTGGCAAGTGAGAAGAGAAAGAATATTCTAAGGCAGTGGTGCTTTTTTTGGCCTTAAAATGGCCTAAGGCTAGCAATGAACTTCTGGGCCCAGAGCTTTGGCGTCTGGGTCTTCCAGGAGTGAGAAGGCCTGTGGGCACCCCCAGGGGCCAGCAGTGCGGGCTCCTCACCTGAATGTGAAGAGAGTCCCCATGTCCAGCATTGACAGCAACTCCGCTTTTGACTTGGGGAACGAGAGCCGGTAGCGCAGCGTCTCGAAGGCGGGGACGATCATCGCTTTCTTGGTGTTGGCGAGGTCAAGCTGGATGACAGACTTCCTGAAAGGGGAGGGCAGGCAGAGGGATGCAGAGTTAGAATTGCTGCCCCTGGGCCAGAGAGCAGAGTCTTCTTGGAGATGGATTGGAGGGCGGGCCAGACAGGAGGGGCTGGGGGACCCTTCCCCCCTTTCGCAGTGTGTGCGACTGTCAGAGCCAAGTGCAGAAGGCAGGTCTCCTGGAGGACCCTGCTGGGTCCACCAGGCTGGCCACACACTCCTACTGCACCGCTGCCCACCGGGGAACAGCTGGACACAAAGCTGACAAAAGAATCACCAACCTGGGCACTTCCGGGTCCCATCTCTGTGAGTCCTCAGACCCCGAGCCTTTAAACCAGCCAGACCCACCCATGCAGCCAGCACCCATTACGGCAGAGTGCTGGTATCCCACTTACTGGTGGAAAGTTCTCCATCCTCCCACTCACTCCTGCCTCTGAGCCTGGCCTTCTGCTCTGCTCCTCTGAGACCCAGCTCCTACCCTTCTGGATTTATCTGCCAGTTCCTGGCTCTGTGACCATCACTCGGAAAGGGAGAAAGGTCTGGAGAGGGCCATAGAGCATGAGGCTTGTAATGAACACAGATGGGATTTGAATCCTGGCTCTGTCACTTTATGACTCTTGCCTTACTGGGCAAGTAATTTAGCTTCACACTACCTCAGGTTCCTCCTCCCTAAAATGGGGCAAGAACATCTCCCTCCTGGAGCTGCTGTGGAGAATGAACAAGGTAATATAAACACTGTTTGGCACACCTGGCACATGGCTTGTAGCAACAAATGGCCACTATAACACACCAGTGCTATCGTGACTTCCTGGCTTGATCTTCCGTGATTTCTTTTGGCCATGACCTTGCTACCTCACTTTGGCCTCCTGCTCAGACCACTGACCCTTAGGTCTCGGTGCCAGCATGGACCATCTGCTTGTTATCTCTGAAATAGAGAAAGCAGTCTCCCTGGGGGTAATGCGAGGCATTGAAAGGCATTTTGCAAAATACTGGGAGAAGCAGCCCTCTGTAGCAGTACAACTGCTTACTGCTGTATTAGTAAAGTCACTGCACTCAACAAAAATTTGAACCTGTGCATAAACAGAGACTAAGGCTGGTCTGCAGAGAATAGTCATGTTACCCGAAGTAACTACAACAGCCCAAGCCGGGGTAGGACAAGAGCAGAGCGGCAATGCAAGAAGGACATCAGCCGGGTTTAGTACCAACGACTGATGACGGGGAACCTGGACCGGGTCAGAATAAGGACAGCTCTCGGAAACCACCCTTGACTAAGGGGTCTCACCAGTTCCCACTGCAGAGGGGACAGTTGAGAGATGGACCGGAATCCTCTGAATATCATTTGTAGTTCACTCTTCATAATTATGCTCACGTTAACTATATACCAAATGGTAAATGGCCCTCATGTCACTATTTCAGGGGAGATTCATAAAGGATGACACCAAGATAGAATCTGGGTGAGCTATACTTAGCCAATTGGAGGACCAGAGGTCTGAGTCAGCCTGTTCTGGCCTGCATTCCTCTCCCCCTTTGTCTCTCTGAACAATGACTTCATAGTTTTCAACACCCAAGATTCCCTCATCTATGGCCAGGCATTCATATCAATCCTACATTAGACACAGGCAGAGCTGGGGCTCATCACCTTTCCTCCAGGAAAGGTGTTACCTTATCTATTGATTCTGGGTGTCGGGAAAGGGACACGTGGGTCTATGGAATATCCTTGGACCCACCAGATGGCAAAGACCCTGGAACCACCAGGGAGGAGGAAGAGAGGGTCCCAGCACTGAGGGGTGATTGCTGCTCATTCAGCCATCACTGAGCATCTACTGTGGGCCAGGCCCCAGGCTGGGCACTTGGAGACACAGAGTGAACAAAACAGCCAAAGTCACTTCCCGCCTGGTACTTACATTCTTGTCTTAAATGTCTCAGGACGCTGAAGCCCAAGATTGCAGTTGTTTTAAGATATGAATGCTATGGAAATAGAGTGGGAGGCTAGGAGGGCTGAACTATGAAGAGAATGGGCCAAGTGTACACACACACACACACACACACACACACACACACACCCCAGATACAGAGATCTATAAACGTGGATGTCTCTATCCATATAAGCCTCAAACTACTACCACTATCACAGTTAGTATCGTAGCCACTTCTTGGAGCACCCTGCTCAAAGATGATCCCTCCTCTCACAGCCCCTGCACACAGGGGCAGCTCCCAGAGCTATGCTGCCCTACATGAAGCCCTGGCCAGGGCAGAGTGTTCTGGGGTCAACACTTGAGTCAAGCTGAGCAAATCAGTTTCTCTCTTGGTAATTTTAACAGAGATGCAGAGATTGGAAAACAAAGACCTGACTTGCACTAATGTCAAGACAGCACTCTAGAGGCTTCTGAACTGCTGCTGCAGAGGGGCTCAGAGCTGCCCGGGTTAATTATGATCTCCAGGATTGGTTTTCCAGATTCTACTTTGATTCCATAAGAAATGCCACTCAACTGTTTTTTGTCTTGTTTTCCTTTGATTTCTTTTCATTTTAATTAAGCTGCCTACCATTGGTTTCTGTTGCTTGCAACCAAACAACCCTGACCAATATATTGCAAAAGGCCCAGAGTAAGCAGACCCAGGAAGCAGCACGCCTCACAAAATGGAGTCCTAGCAAGCCTTCTTTCCCTCCGCATATGGAGCATCAGATTCGGGAGCACTTCCTACAAGTTCCCTTTAATCTCACGGACACACAAACTGCCACAAAGATGGATTTGTCACCAGACAGGTCTACTTCAGACTCAGTTCGAGGAGGTTTCCACACTCATGTCCTGAATGGGTCTCATGATGAAGTTGTTTCGGCAATAAAGTGGTTTCAGGGTACCGATTCTGAGCACATCTCTCATTGAGATGGCAGTGGTAGCCTGGGCTCTTCTGCACTGTGTCCTGTTAGTACGTGCCGACCACTTAGGGTTACATGATTTGCTGCCACCATTTATCTGGAAAGTGAGTCCTGCAGGGGATGGAGTGTTTCAAATGCAACATCTTCTGGGAACAGAGGGGGGTATGGTGAGGTGAGAAGGCAGGAATAGGAGCCAAGGGACCTGACGTCTGGAGCCAGCCCTGACAACCTGAGTGACTTTGGCTCTCTTCATTCATCCCTCTTAGATTGCTAAACCTAGCTGATTAAAATTGAAGACTCTGGAAGGCAGTCTGGTGTAGTAGCAATCAGACAAACCTGGTTTCTAGCTCTGACTCCACTCCTCCTGTTGGGCAAGTCACTTTAACCATTCTGAATCTCAAAGGTCATGCTCTTGTTAAATATTCTGATGAGGGAAAGCACAAGTGCACGTGGAAGTGCTTGGTGCAATGCCTGGCACATATTAAGCACTGAATACATGATGGTTGCTGCCTGTGATGGTTCATTTTATGTGTCAACTAGGTTACGGTATGGTGCCCAGCTGTCTGGTCAAACACGCATCTAGATGTTGCTGTAAAAGTATTTTATGGATGTAATTAACATTAATAATCAGTTGGCTTTAATTACTGTCAATAATGTGGGTGGGCCCCATCTAATCAGTTGAAGGCCTTAAGAGCAAAAACCAACTTTCCTGGAAAAGAAGGAATTCTGCCTCAAGATTGTAACTTAGAAATCCTGCCTGAGTTTCCAGTCTGCTGGCCTGTCTTGTGGATTTCAGACTTGTTAGTCCCCACAATTCCTTAAAATAACTATCTATCCCTCCAACCATCCTATCGGTTCTGTTTCTCTGAAGAGTCCTGACTGATACACTGTCCTTGCTTCTTGTCCAAGACCCCTTCAAAAATATTCACAAACCTATCACAACATTTTTGGACTGAGGAACTCTTAAAAGAAACCTTAGGTATCTACTGAAGTAATTCAGAACTCTGCTGGTATAACGAAGAATGCAGCAAATACAAGTGACCTAGAGCCAGCCAGCACCAGGTTCCAATCCTGCCTGCCACTCTCTCTTAAGACCCTGGGCACGATGCTCAACTACTCCTGGTCACAGGTTCCCCATCTGTAAAACGGAGATGACAACGCTTCTCTCTCATCAATCAGGGTTGCCGTGAGGATGAAATTAAATATTGACTCCAGAGCCTGACACGGGGCCTGACTTAGAATAACTGATTAACAAATGAGCCCCCTTCCCCTTTCGGGCTCAGCTTACTGGTGGGCCTGTAGCAAGAGCATGGGCGAGGGCAGAGGATTCAGAAAAGGCAACAGATTGCTTACAGCCAGGATAGATTTTTGACTTGCTAGCTGCTTGTTGATGGAAACAGAGTTTATTAGATCTCAGTCTCCAGCCAACTCGGAGTCGCTCTTCATGTCAAAGACAATTCAGGTGTTCCTGATGGTAAATTCACCCCCTTCCAGTCTGGCGGAGCTGACCAGAGGGAAAACTGTGAGCCGGGCAGTGTCCATCTTCAAAGTCCCCCAGTGTCCCCTACTGTGCATCCTCTTCCCCCAGCCTCTCCTCTCAACTTGCTTAAGTATGCGAATAGCTCATAGCCTGTTTTGCTCCCACCTGGTGAAGCTTGTGAGCAGGGGAGACAACGTGAGTGAGTAGCGAGGCTTCTTACGCCAACCTAAGGGAGGAGGCGGGCAGAGACTGTAGGCTTTCACGGGGCTCAGCATTAAGTCAAAGAAACAGCACGGGAGGGTGGACTGTTTGGTAGATGGGCTTCCTGGTGTTTAAAATTACCAAACCCCAAGACTGACTGATCCTGGCGGTGGTTCGTGCGTGTACACACGTGTACACATACATACACACAAATGCACACACACAATCCCCTGCCTCTCTTGCTCTGTCTTTTTAACTCCATCCTTTGCCCTGGAGGCAAGTCTCTGTCACCAGGGAAACAGCCCAGGTGCCCGGCTTGAAGAGCTTACGGGAAAATGTCTCAGAGAAATAAGGAACAAGGATGCACCGCATGGCTCTTACAACTTCCTCTCATTGCAGGTAAAGATGAGAGCTCTGGGGCCAGGCTGCTGAGGTCTGCATCCTG